ATACATGTGATGGATATGCCCGAGACAGGAACTTCACTCACATTCTTGGAATGAGGGCATGGCTAGCACGGAGGGGAACGCGGAATGCAGAGCTCACAAGTCAGACATGATTTCGGTGAAAGAGTATTTCTTGTGCCATTATTACTTCACAACGCATTGTATCTACAAAAAGCAGCCAGGGTGGCTGCATGCCTATGTGGCGTCTAGCCCATCTTGTTGTATCTCTCCCGGGCTCTGTCCTGCACCGTGTTCACGTACTCGGCATAGCTGTTCTTCGTCTTGCGCTGGGCCAGCTCCGCCGCGTCGCCCAGGTTTCCGCCCTCCGCACCGAGACCAACGCCTTCCTGGTATGCGTGTGTCGCAATCACCTCGGTGCGTCCGTCGGCGTTGGCGCCCAAGCCCTGACCGGTGCTCCAGCCCATCTTGGCCAACATCCCTGCGCCCTTGGACGGCTGCGGAGGCGGCGTCTTCTCGGCGGGTGCACGAGACGGCTTGTCCTCCCTTCGCGCAGGCTTCGTGTTCTGAGCCAAAGGTTTGGGTTTGGATGGCTGGTTGAAAACCTCTCGGCGTTCCTTCGCACGGTCGCGGTATTGAGGGCCCGACTCTTCGTTCTTAGGCTGTTCCTCGGTCTGCTTCGACATTCTCTTGTCGCGGGCGGCAAGACGGGGCTTGGCAGCCTTAACCTTTTCCTCGTCTGCCATGGCATTTTTGTGGTTTCTTGACTTCTCATGAGTGTTGAGGTCGTCCAGAGACTTGTACTTCATCATACATAGTAGACAGCACACCTTTTCCCTGTCGACGTATGATACTGTCGGCGAAGCAGGCTGCTCGGGGCTTACAGCACCAGTCGAAGTAGGGGCCGTCGACGGTTCTGCCGAATGTGATGTCGCGGGCGGGGCAGGGTTGGACAGACTCGCTCCTGTCAGCGAAATCTTGATTGGGCCAGTCGAAATGGCATTGGCCCCAGACAAAGAGATCTTGACTGGTGCGCGCTCTTCCGCGCTGCCGTCACCATCGGCAGGGTCTGTAGGCTTCTTGCCTTCATGGATTTCGTCGTGTCGTCTCTGCCAAAAGGCCATCTGCCCCGCCATTGGCGCGGACTTTTTCGTAGCTGCAGATGCAAGGCTTCCTTCAGCCTTGCGCTTCTTGGTCTTCTTCGCCTCATCATTCGCATCCGTCTTGTCGTTACTGGATGTACCTCCTGGAGGTGTCTCAGTGATGACCTTTTCACTGGGAAACACATGGGGCTCCCAGTATTTGACTCGAATGGCTGGGTTGAAAAGTGGGTTAAACGAGATGTGTTCGATGGCGCGCGTGACGTCTCTCATTTCAGGTACGAATACACCCAGGTGGATGGTCGATACCGTGACTGGCTTCCCGGCGATGGTGAACTCGCGCATCATCTTGAACTTTTGCATGGCGGCAAGAGCATCTTCGACCGTCCAGAACTCGGCAAATCCAAAATTGAATGATTCGTTCGTGTCTTGATCTCGCATCAAAAAGATGCGATGCAGCGAGCCAGGCTTCGCGCCATATCCCGATGCATCGCCAGTTGGCGCCGTGGACTTCAGCTTTGGTGGTTCTCCAGAGTTCTTTGGCGCCGCGGGCTTTTGCGCCAGTTCCAGCTTTGCAGCACCGGCGGCAAGCACGTCTTCTGTGACAGCGCCCGCAAGTGGAAAGAACACCAGTATCTGGGATGGCGTATCAGCTGCATCGCTTTCGCCGGTCAGGAGGTGACGGTATTGAGACGGGTCTGTCACGGTCAGTTTTGGGCATTCAGCAGCATGTCGACATCGTATCAAAAATACCTGTTGGTGGGCCGCCGCAGTTCTTGCAGCGATTCCTGGTGGAATAATTGGAGAACTCGCAAGTCGGGCAAGTCCAGTTCGGGGCATACCCAGCCTTGCTTTCCCGTTCGCCGTCGTCACGGTTCCTCGCGTAGTGTATGTACATTGAGGTCATGCCATCGGCATCACCGTCGACTATGCCTGCGAAGTCAAGCATGAGCTTGGGATAGTGCTCCTTGACAAATTCGACCGCCTGGTCAACCTGCTCAAACTGTACGAAAGCACGTCGCTGGCCTGTTACGTGTCAGCAAGGGAGAAACCATGTCTTGGCAGCTAGTCTGTCTTACCTCGGCCAGATGGAACTCGAACTTCAACCGAAGGGTATTGCGATAAATCCGTTTGTCTGAACAGACAGTCCTTAACGTCTTCCAATAACAGGCCCGTGGGCAAACCCTCGAGGATCACAGTATCACTCGGATTACCAGCTTGTCGAAGAGGCGATGCAGAACGATCGCGACGAGAATAACGACCTGGGCTGCCACCTGGAGAGGGGGAAAAATGACGAAAATCCTCGTCAGGACCACGTCGGGCATCATCGCGGCGAGGGCCATCGTCGTGGTAAGGGCGAGAGTAGCTCCGGCCACCTCGATCGTAACGACGTGATCCGCGGTCGTCGCCGTCATATGGGTGAAGTATCTCAGGGTCTTCATCACGGCGATCCAAATGGTCATCCCCACGACCGCCTTGATCTCTCGATCCAGGACGTGGCTGGTAGGCCTCACGCGCCGATCCATTGTAGTAGCGGTTGTCTCTGGCGCGGACTTCTTCTTCTCGGCCACGATCACGGTCCCGATCCCGGTAGCGGGTCTCCTCGTCGTCGTAGGACAGCTCGTGGTGGTTATTCCTGGGTGGAGATCTAGAATAGTCTCGTCGGCCCGTGGGAAAGTTAGCGGAAGCTCAAACCAGCCAGATGTTCTGCAGATGGTCATGTCCTCCGCAGGCTCAGCTTAGTTTCTTTACCCTGCCGCGTGCGATAGGCGTCGTTGTTTGGATATTGCTGGTGATCTCTCGGAGGGGATCTTCGTCGGTCGTGAGGTCCCCTCTCCCTCGAGCGATAGGTGTCCTCGTACATGTTCGCGGATCGCAGGATGGGGCGTGGGTGCAATGCGAACTCGGGAGCGCAGGATGCGTTCGGTGTTGGTCGTTTCGGAAGGAAAGAGCAGAAAAGCGGAAGAAGACGAAGAGGGAGGAAACGGGGGTTGAAAAACGCAAGGCGCGGCGCCGACCCCAAGAGGCAGCGACGAGACCGTGCTTTGTGATTCCGTCGGGTGTTCGGCGCAACCAGGATGCGTTCCTGAGTTTGCAAGAAACAGAAACAGAACGGTGAGGTTGAAGAAGGGACGATCCACCAAGAAGCTCAACCCTTGCGTGCCAGTCGTGTGCTGTGGCTGCAACCAGGTGCCACCACCTTCCCTTGCCTGACCTTATCTTTAAGGTAAAATGCTTCGAGGCTCAATTGGAACACTGTTCTGCTTAGTAAAGCGGGGTTCGATAAGCTTGTTGGATTGTTGATCTGTGCTTCACTCACTCCAATATCGTCAGTCAGTACGTGCCCTAAGGTCTCCCTCTCGCCCTGTGGTCACTTATTCAGCATCTCCGAGGGCATTAATTCGGTCGTCAAGAGTAGACGTTGTCAACGCAAGAGCTGCCGATTTTATTGATGAATGCTAGAGATCCCTCATTGAGTGACATCATCGGCTGTGAAACCTGATATCCTTTCCAGCACCAGCAGGTCGTACAAGAGACAGACAAGCGCTCTCAATCGGCGCTACTGTGGCTTTTGACCCCGCCATTCTACGATCTCCTAGCGGCCGGGCTACCGAGCGAACTCGCACATCAACCAACTTCAAGGGCACGGAAATACTCACCAGAAATCCAAATCAACGCCTATTCATCTCATCGATCCGTCATGGACTCTCAAGATCAAGGTCCTTGGGAGGTGGCGGAGAACAGCTGCTACGTCGCACTCACGTACGACCTCCTCGATGCTGCGGCCATCATGAACCGGGTGCGCTCACCACAGGCCGGCGCCATTGTCCTCTTCTCCGGCACCACGCGCGACACATTTGGCGACAAACCTGTCAAAGAGCTGCAGTACAGCGCGTATACGCCACTCGCCCTTCGCACAATGATGTCCATCGCCAAGTCCATCCTTCAGAAGCACGGTCTCAAGGGCGTCGCCATGATCCATCGGCTCGGCACCGTTCCCATTGGAGAGGAGAGCATCCTCATAGCAGTGTCCTCGCCGCACCGGCAGGCAGCGTGGAGAGCCGGCGAGGAGGCCCTGGAAGAATGCAAGGCCAAGGTCGAAGTCTGGAAAAGGGAAGAGTTTCATGGTGAGGAGGGCGTATGGAGGGCAAACCGGGACGGCATCGCGGGCCAAAAGGTCGCCAACGAGCAGAATGCTTCTGCAGAGCAGGATCCGGATGCTGCGCCGCCCCCTGCGTCTCTCGGCCCAAATTGCTGAAGCTGGATATCGAACCCCACCTACACGCTCAACCGGGCGACGGATCTAGAGTTAATTAGGCTGTTGGCTTCGGACATCGACTGCAAAATACGAAGTAAGCCCCAGCTTCACACCCGGCTCCGTTTTCTTTCAAAAAACATGGTCAGCTCGGCGCCTGCCGAAACGTGCGAGGTCTATAAAATCATTGGTTACGATAGGGGCTCTCCAGAGTGCCAATGTTATTGAGAGGGCAGTGCAGAACCAACAACCATCAACAGCATTTCGAATCGGTCTATGATGAACATCATCGCATCCCTCCTGTCGTCTTGGCAATCAGGAAGTGCAAAATAAGGCTCTTTCAGGGGAACAAGGAAATTCAGTCGGTTGAAGGATACAATCAGGTGGATTGGATCAAGCATGTTGGTGGAATAATCATGCGGTTGAAGCTTGACCCGCCTCGCCCTCCACCATCGTCTTTCGCGAGCGCTGTGCCGCTCATGCGCGCCGACATGATACGAACAACCAGCCTTCGCTGCCAGGATTCGGACAATCCAGGCAGACGCATTTGCACTCGTGGGTCATCTGGTAGCCGACTTGTACAGCCAGCCAGCCTGGTCGAACTTCTCACCTTGTGGAGTTCGTGATCATTTCTTTCCCTTCTTTCACCTCAGCCTGTCGTGGCAAGGTCGCAGTGAACTATCGCAACAATGGCTGAAAAGTCAATCTACCAAGTCAATCAAGCCGAAAAGATGTCGGCTCGTGAAATAGACCACGGGCCAGAAGTCATACCGGATCAATACTACCATCCCAAGACACCAATATCCCCCACATACAAAGGGGACGATAACAAACACTACTCTCAGCAACCACAACAGCCTGTAAATACAGAAAGGAGGATATGTGGTTTGCGGAGGACGAGTTTCTTTTTCTTTGTCGTCCTCGCAGCAGTCGTCATCGCAGCATCAGTGGGCGGAGGCGTTGGCGGCTCGTTGGCGGTTTTGCGCATGAAAGAGTGAGCAAATTCCACGCACTTATGCTCCCCGAGCCTAGAGTCTAACATAAGAAACCTAGGCAGACTCAAGCAGAAGTACAAGCGAGTGCCGCTGCCAAAGCGACAGCAACAGATTCGCCAGTGGCATCGAGCACGATGAGCGTCCCCGCGACGGGCACAAATACTCCGACGACAGGTTCGACGCAAACCACAGCAAACGCTGCCAGCATTTCCATCCCGACGACAGGTCTGGTGACGACAGGCGACTTACAGATCAATTGCCCGAATTTGACGGGCAGGACGATGTCTGTGGCTGTAGGAGGAGTCAAGTCGAACTACGATACCGAGTGCAATGTTGATTATACGGGTGACAATGTCGATGTCATGGCATTAGTATCTTACACGCTGGACACCTGCATGATGGCTTGCTCCTCATACAACAAGAATATCAACGGCACCAGCGAGAGGTGTATCGGAGTGCAGTTCAACGGGGTGATCGACATCATGACGAAGAATTACGGCGGAAATTGTTTTCTGAAGAAGAACACTGGCACGAAGGAAACAACGACCGAAACATCAACATCGATTATCAAGAAGTATAATATGCATCTAGCGGCTATGCTGAGTTAATCGAAATCCTTCTGAACACAATGAGGGACTGGGATGGAGGCTTCGGGCGTTGTTTGGGTCAGGTCATGAATGACACTTGCTGGGCTTAATGATATCACACAAATACCATGCAATTTCTTATAACATCTCAAACGAGACAAAGATATCAAGTCGGATCGCACCTCCTGACTCAAAGGAGAGTTTTGAAGGCGCACCGGTGAAGAGGAGGAACCGCTTAGAGGACGTGACTAAGCAGATTGGTGTTGAGTTTAATCTGCCACCCCTTGACCCTGGGCATTTTCCGCTCCTTCTTCCTCATCTAACGCGAACCACAACTGCCACCGATACGCACCTGACAAGAATGTGGCATCCACCAGCCTAACTTTGACAGGAACGCCGCTGGTCCCAGCTTTCATGTCAATCATGATTTCGAAGGCGCTCCCTGTGCGCTTTCCAGTCAAGTTTCCTCGGCACGGATGCCCCGGCTGAGCCTCACCCGGCGAGGCGACCTGTCAGGTGTTTCCCAGCCAAGCGAAAGCTGAGGACCTTATGAGGATGTGCTGTGCCTCTCTAACCACCTCGGGTTGGCGCGACAATTCAATCTCTCCAATCTGGGTCCCAGATGCCTCGTAGGTGGCGCGACCATTTGCTGCAAGTTTTAGCCCGAAAGAAAGATGCACTTAGCCCTGCTGGGCGCCCAGCTCTAGGGACGCTACCCCATAATCACGGCTGAATCCACAGTCCGCCCGACGAATGCTCTGACGAGGCTGAAAAAGGCATGCGACCCGGCCTTTCTGCGCCGTTAGTTCTGTCTCCGGCGGGATCCCTTGCGTTTGCTTCTTCGTTGTTGAACCTTCGGCAAGCTGCCACACGCATGTAGCGTTGATTGCCCGGATACCCCAATATCTCCAACATCAATCGAGCTTCTCCGCACTGCTTGCTGTGGGGGTGGAGCTGCCACAGGGACCAGCCATCACATCTTCGGGCTAGCTACGCGGCCTTTGGACCTTGACGAGACTGCCAGACGACCACGATGAGGTTTTCAAGAGCTGTGTTCTTTGCGGCGTTGGCGGATGTGGCGGCTTCTCAATTGGTGGTTTCAACCGACTTCAAGAGGGTCTCGTTTCCTCCGGATCTGGTGCAAATCACCCGTCGCGATACTTTCGATGTCACGGCCATCAACAATCTCACCGGCGGTGGCTACTATTCCGAAGTCGAAGTCGGCACGCCAGGCCAAAAAATGCTCATGCATCTGGACACGGGCAGCAGTGATACCTGGGTGGTAGACAAACAGGCGGACCTCTGCAACAGCCCACGCCTGCAAAGAACGTACGGCACTGGTTGCACTAGCACCTTTGACACGACCAAGAGCTCCACCTACGAGCTTGTCACAAGGAATGGCTTCGATATCACCTACCTCGATGCCAGGAACATCCAGGGCGACTACATCTCGGATACAGTGGACATCAACGGGAAGAAGGTGTCGAGCCAGCAGCTGGGCTTGGCCATTCAGACGGTTAAGGGATCTGGCTTGATGGGTCTGGGTTTCTCGACGGGCGTGTCCACAAGACGGAGTTATCCCACGATTCTCGACAACATGGTTTCACAGAAGTTGATCGGCCGTAAAGCCTTCAGTCTATGGCTGGTATGAAGCTCCAATGTGTTTGAAGGACGGCCGTGCTAACGGCAGTTCAGAACGACCTGTCTTCGTCAGAAGGGACGTTGCTCTTCGGTGGCATCGACACTGAGAAGTACATTGGATCCCTCACAACACTGCCCCTGGTCGATGACTACCACTCCGAGCGTATCACCAGCTACAGCGTCGCCATGACCGGCGTCTCCCTCGAAACACCCGACGGAAAGATGACAGAGTTGGCTGCGGAAAACTTCAATGCTTCCACCGTCCTTGATTCCGGCTCAACAGTCTGTCTGCTTCCTGACAGGATCGCCAACCAAATTTGGGAGAAATATGATGTCATCGACGCCGGCTACGGCTTCGTGGACTGCAAGTGGAGGGGACCCGACGGCGAAAACCACTTCCTCGACTTCGAGTTCAGCGGTGTCACGATTCGAGTACCCCTCGAGGAGATGGTTCTTGACAACCTCGACCCGATCATGGATCAGCTGGAAGGACTGCTTCCGTTCGATAATCCGTGCATGTTCGGTATTCAGAGCAACTCGGCCTTCGACATCAACAGCAGCAGGTTCGCTCTTTTGGGCGACACGTTCCTGCGAAGCGCGTATGTGGTATACGACGAGACCAATCAGCAAGTCGGCATTGCACAAGCAAACTTGAACTCGACACGCTCCAATGTCATTGAGTTGCGCGCAGACGAGACCGCCTTGCCAACGGCCACTGGCGTGGCCTGTCAAGTATCAACTGCAGCCCCGACACGGACAGCCAGTGGAAGTACGGGCGGCAGCGGAGGCGGAGGGAGGGAATCGGGCTCGGGCGCGACATCAATTTTGGCCACGCCTACACCGAGCGCAACCGAGAATGCTGCTTCGCGGCCAGGCATGGCACCTTTGGGGTTCGATGGAACCATTGTGGCAGCACTTACATCCGTCTTCGCCATTCTTGGCGCGGCGCTTTTAGCAGTCTAAGCTGAGAACGCGAATAACTTAATGTATAATACTAATATCCTTACAGAGGAATGAATTGATCATGGCCAGAAGCATAAGCAAACGTCTCACCAGAGTGCTCTATCTGCTACATCTTAGTCTGGTGTAATGACATGATTCAGGTCTATGTGAAGCTCAAAGCGCAGTGGTAGAGTTCGAGCCTTCAACGGCTACCTCACAAAACTGTGGAGCGGGTACACCCGATGGGGAAATTTTTTTCATGCACTTTTCGTCACCCGTCCCGATCGGCCGGCTTTTCACCTCACATCTCATCCCGAACTCGGCATCAACGACCCGTTGACTCATTTCAAGGACCTCTCAGGCTTCTCTCATATTAGGCGTCCAGGCCAATTTGTTCTAGATCACCCTTTCTCCCAATCTCACTCACTGAGCTTCCCCCAGTCCATCTTGGCTCTGCCCCTCCATTACCCCTCCAAAAGTCGACTTACCCCTCCACCCCACCACATCCTAGACCTACAACAGCAGCAGTAACAATGGCGAGCATCACCTCCGTCGACTTGACGGGCCTTGAGAAGATCGGCCAGGGCAAGGTCCGCGATGTCTTCGAGGTCGACGACAAGACCCTCCTCTTCGTCGCCTCCGACAGAGTCTCTGCCTTTGACGTCGTCATGCAGAACGGCATCCCCGACAAGGGCGCCATTCTTACCCACGCCTCGGTGAGCTCAGCAACAAACCCGCGACTTGCCGAATTCACCGTCGAGCCCCTCCGCTGACCAAAAACTTTTTTTTTTTTTGATGCCAGGCCCACTGGTTCAAGGTGCTGACGGACCGCGTCCCCGGCCTCAAGACCCACTTCATCACCCTCGACCCTCCGGCCGGCCTCCCCGCCGCCGACGCCGCCCTCATCAAGAACCGGGCCATGCAGGTCCGCCGTCTCAAGGTCGTCCCCCTGGAGGCCATCGGTTCGTAGAAATTCGTCTCTCACTCACAAACATCAACATTAACGAAACTTTAGTCCGCGGCTACATCACCGGCTCCGCCTGGAACGAGTACAAGTCCAAGGGCACCGTCCACGGCATCGCCATGCCCGCCGGCATGCAGCAATCCGAGGCTTTCCCCACGCCGCTCTACACGCCCAGCACCAAGGCCGAGCAGGGCGAGCACGACGAGAACATCCACCCGGACGAGGCGCGCCGGCTCGTCGGCGCCAAGGTGGCGGACCGCGTCGAGGAGCTCGCGCTGCAGCTGTACGCGGCGGCGCGCGACTACGCCAAGGAGCGCGGCATCATCCTCGCCGACACCAAGTTCGAGTTCGGCGTCGACCCCGACACGGAGGAGATCGTGCTCGTCGACGAGGTGCTCACGCCCGACAGCAGCCGCTACTGGCCCGCCGACAAGTACGAGGTCGGCCGCGACCAGGAGAGCTTCGACAAGCAGTTCATCCGCAACTGGCTGATTGAGAACGGGCTCAAGGGCAAGGACGGGGTGAAGCTGCCCGAGGAGGTGTGTCTGGCTACGGCGGAGAAGTACAAGGATGTGTTTGTGAAGTTGGTTGGGAAGAGCTTTGATGAGGTTGTTGCGCAGGCGTAGGGTGGGTTTTGGTGAGTCTTTTCGAGTTTTGAGGGATGCGATATTACCAGTGAATTAGGATAAACAAAAATTATATGGGAATCGATCCAATCCTATGGGACATTTTGGAGTACCGATTCCTGATCATCAAGAACTGAACTACTCAGTGGTGTGATGCCATGCTAAGGCGAACATCAACTATGTCTGCTTGATGGAGATCGGCTGTGAATGAATAATATTGGCATGAGGCCTCACAGTGATTGGGCAAGGCTTTTTTGTTACCGCGAGTTGTGAGTTCTGCCCACCGGTGGACCACACACATGCAACCCATTCCCTATTCTCACCATCCTATTCGTTTGTTGAGGTGTGGTCACCACTTGATCCAACTTGGCAGCCGACCGAGCCTGCATGAGTGAACAAGGGTCAATTGTACGCTGAAATGGAATTGCTAATCCGCGCATTGCCGATTCTCCTCTTAAGCATCCGAGAGTAAGCTTGACTGGACTTTTCCTGTTTCTCATTTCAACATTTTGCATATTTTGCGAGTTTCCTTCGGGCCTTGTGGCAGCAAGTCAGAACGAATTGAAATACAGCACAATGCCGATGCCGTATTATCTTGACCCTAATCCCATGCTGGATTGCTACTACTCTCCACCATTGGATGAACATAATTGCCTTGACTTTGTCAGCGGAGCTGCTGGTGGTGGTGGTGGTGGCGGCGGCGTTGGGGATTACTACAGCATCGGCGGACCGGTCATTGAAACGCTCCATACGTCCACCAATGAAATATCACGCGGTATTGTTCATCGTCGCGAGACGGAGTCTTATGGATCAAGCTATCTCTCAGAGAGATTATCAAATCTGAGACTCGATGATGGACACGGCGGCGGCGGCGGCGTCGCCGCTGCCGAGGAGAATAGGAGCAGCCCAGACGCAGGACAGCGGGCAGTGGCCAGCAGTGCGCGAACAGGCAACCAACCAATCGTGCAGCCCCCTCTTCCCCCCATTGTCGCTGATAACATCACCCAAACGCAAGACGTGGACCTCCAGGACGACTCTCAAGAGCATTCGTTGTCTCATGATTCTCAAACATCACCGCATAGATCAGCCGCACGCAAGTCCGATGACGGACTCTTCGTTATCCCCAGAATACCTCAAAAACCTCAGAACTTATGGGGAGAAGGCGAAGAAACCGCTTTCCGAACTGGACCATGCCGAAGGTATTCAGTTGACAACGGGCCAGATGGCGAAACTCTTGACGCCAAGGATAATTCTAGACTGCCGCTGCTTCGACATGTCAAATCATGGAAAAAAAAACACCACACGAACAGTAACGCAACTTCTTGCTTGCCCCTACCTGAAGTATGCACCTCTGAAAAACAGTTATAGGTGTAGGGCCGCGGCTTATCTAACTATTCATCGTCTCAAGTAAGGATACTCTCCTAATAGCTCATCTTTGGTATTGGGAAGCTTATATTCAGCGTAGAGAGCATCTCTATAGAGTCTATAAGCAGCAGCCACACTGTATTTGATGCGGCGAATTATTCCCAGATACTTCAGATGTGAAGGTGTATCTAAGTCGTCCAGATGAAGTTTGTGACGTCGCCTGGGGCGTTTCTATTAAAGGGCTTACTGCCGAGCAAATTCAAAAGTTGAAAAGCAAGAAGCGAAAGCTTGGTGTCACGACAAACGAGGAAAAGTGGTAAGATATATTTGCGATTGTGTTCCCGGATGCGAAGTGTTACTTGGACCTATATGAGCTGACTTGCCTTCTATTTCTTGTTTGCAAACTAACTTATAACGTTAAGACTATTCCTACTTCGATGACCGCTCGAATAACTAAAACCTACTTTCAATGGACCAGAGCAATGTTGAGAGCATTTTCAGCGATATACCATCAGAGTCTGAAGAACGCATGTTTACGAAGTTGGAGCCAATTTGCGGTCATTTGGAGAAGCGCAAGCGCCGCAAGGTTCTAGAGACGTTTGAACGGTTCTTCGCGGAAAGAGTACAACAGATCACGGAGAGGAAAGCGCTCCCACGGAACGACGGAGATGCTATGTGTCCTGACGTATCAAGTTCTGATCTCAAAAATCAGAGCGCCGCTCCAGATCTGGAAGCAGATATCATAGGGCATCAACATTCCATCCCACAAAACTCTCCGAAGTTCCAGTATCCGCCAGTATTGCAGACAATGTCAACAACGGATATCGTTGGATCTTGGCAGGAAGGTGCACTTCAGGGACCGGTTGAGCCCAATCTCTTCAACCTTCCAAATGGAAGGATACTCAACAACATGCAGCCAGAACATGAGGATATCATCGTTACGGGCGATGAAGTTCCCCCAAACGGATGTACCAGTACCATTGGCCCATCGAGCACCCCCAGCATTGTGTTTCCGAATAAGACATGCGACTTCGTTCCTCTCTATGATTCTAGCAACTCGTTGAAGGCTGATGAATTAGTTGTCGATTTCGACTTCAATGATCTTCTGAAAGACTGGGTAGGGCATGGTCCCTCTGGGACTGCTGGTGGAGTAACTGATTACTTTCATACTTGATAAACTGGGCCGCTCAACGGAGGATGAAGAGGCAACGGATGGTGGGACTCTGAAGCAAGAGCCAAATGTACCGTCACAAACAACAAATGCCGTCGACCTATTTCGACTTACTACAATTGATCATCTGCATTCAGTTGAATGAAGAGTTGTTCGTGGTGGGCTGTGAAAAGACAAGGATGTATGCCGGATGAGTCAACGGCAGGCTGGGTAGGTTCGTGAGATGAGCACAGCCCCAATAAGCAAGTACGCTCTCACGTGCGACGAATGACGGATATACAGCCTCAAATAATGCTAAACACTTTGGATACAATTCAAAACGAAAATGAAGTCTTTCACATCAACAACTTACATTGCACCCATCACCCAACCTTCCTCGTGATCATTCTTTATCAATAAGTCAAGTACACTGCGTCAGTCGAAACCTGGAAAGATGGAGAATCTGATGCCACACGGCAAATACAAGCAACGGTCTCATGAGACATCTCGTGAGAGGCACCTTGCAGAACTCGAGAACAACCCTACGCAACCGTCTATTGTGTTGCTAGGAGATTCTATGATCGAACGCATGATCACAACTGGCCTATCTCCGAGCTTCGGCCCATGGCCCTCCACAACTATGATCAGCGAAGAAACCATGGCTCAGCAACAGCCACATGCCTCTTCGACTAAGCCTGCACGGTTACAGGGCGTCTTGAATGCAGGCGTAGGCGGCGACAAGTACGAAAATGTCATCTATCGACTTACCGGCTCATCAGACCCCTCGAGACCCCTGGGTGGTCTGCTGGATGCGCTTCGGAACCGTAACGTCAAATTATGGGTGTTGCATGTGGGCACAAACAACCTGCATCCCAAGCGCGGTTTGAGAGACTCCGATCTAGCTCTACTTCGGTTGATCGTCGAGGCTCTGCTCGAAATGGGCGGGAAGATACTCCTCGTCGGGCTCTTCAAGAGGAAGGATATCAATGACGAACTGGTGGTGAAAGCGAATAAGAACTATTTTGAGCTCGTTCGACAATTTCAAGAGGAAGGATCAGATCGGATAGAGTTTCTGGAGCCACCCTTGGTTGATAAGGATGAGTGTCTGGTAGACCATGTTCATCTCAACGAGAAGGGTTATCAAATCTGGTCCGAGGTTCTGTTTGAAGTAGTCACGAATATTGTGAAGTAATAAGCTTTGAAATGGAAATCTTCAGTCACTTTTATGACCCATTTGCAACGATGCTTGCCGGTTCTACCGAAAGAGATTGAGACTCGAGGGGCCATCAGAGGTCACTGTGAGCTCCTCCATCCCTTCCTTTCAACTGTGACATGGAAGACATTCGGTCATGCCAGTTGCCTGAGATTGAACGGCGAGATTCTTATCGTTGTAGGGACGTAGGAATTGTCCCAAATCTACGCCGCGCGACTATCCCATAACCCCTTAAATCTGGAGGTCTTCCCCAATAATTCCCTCGGGTCTCCAACCTCCACAACTCTCCCCTCATGCATAACAACAACGACATCATATCCGACGATGGCTTCCAACCGATGAGCAACTTCCACAACAGTACTTCCCTTAAACTCCTCCATCACCACTCTCCTAATCTCCTCATCAGTCCCATGATCAACATTACTCGTCGCCTCGTCCAACAACACCACATGTTCATGCTTCAACACCGCTCTCGCAAGACAAAACAACTGCTTCTGTCCAGCTGAAAGTCCTGCCTCCGACATTTCCGCATCAAGTCCACCTCGAGACTCCAGGGTGTCCCAGATACGAGTCTTGCGGAGGACGTCGATGAGGTCTGCGTCAGGGGTGTGGCCTGCGGGGTCGATGTTGTCACGGACTGTGCCGGGCAAGAGAACAGGGTCTTGAGGAAGGGTTGTAAGGGACGTGCGGATCTTGGTCCGAGAAATGGTGGTCAGGGATTCGGAGTCAATGGATATAGTGCCGCTGGGGTCAGTGTCAAGAAGACGGAGGAGGGTCAGGAGGAGGGAAGATTTGCCGCTGCCCGAGCGGCCGCAGATGCCGACTTTCTGACCAGGCTGGATTGCAAGAGTCACATCTCGTACGACGGGATCGGTTTCGTCGCTGGTGAGGAATAAACGTCAGTGGATAATCTGAAACGGAGGAAGAGGGAATAATGCGGACCTGTAAGCTGCAGTCACGTTGCCAATTTCAATCTTGCCGTTCTCTGGCCAAGACGGAGGGGGCATGTCTTTCTCGCACTCTCGGTCTTCGCGAGGGGTGTGCTCAATGAAGTACTTGAGCCTTGTAATAGCCCCCAAGCTCGTCTCCAGCATAGTCCACATCTCAATGAATTCAGCAAGCGTCCGGTTGAAGCTGATGATGTTGACCATTGCGAGACCGATGGCGCCTTTGGTAGTAGTGTTATTGAAGTGCAATGCGAAAGCAACCAGGCAGAGCGCCATTCCTGCAACAAAGAGATCCAGGACGACATTAAGCCAGCGCTGGACACAGAAGAAGAGATAGTACGGCCTCTGCGATGCGTCCAGTAGAGTCTGGCTCTCGCGCAGCATGGCCGGACGCCAGGAGAAGGCGCGGAGTGTGGGTAGGCCGGCGAGGACCTCGGTGAAGTGGGTGAATAGAGGAGATTTGGCTTCGAGGTCGATGTGACGGAGCTGACGGGAGGTGCGGAGATAGTATTTCTGGAGGAGGTAGAGGGCCACGAAGGAAGGGGGGATGAGGGCGGCGAAGTAGGATGCGCCGGAGGCGATGAGAGCCGTTTCGGCAATGACGAGGAGGAAGGTGTGGAGGGTTGCAAAGGCGGACATGGGAAGGCGGTGGTCTATGAGAGTCATGTCTTGACTGAATCTGTTGAGGGTCACGCCGCTATCTGTTGTTGTGAAGAAGACCAGGGGGGCACTGTAGCGGTTGTTAGTTGAGTGTGATGAGAGGAGATCTGGATACATACGCGAGGACAGCGTCAAGGAGCATCTGGTGGAGATGACGTGCGGATCGAGGGACGACGGTGAGCATCCAGAAACTTGAGTTATTAGCATCAAAGTCTACATGAAAAAGAAAGCAAACTTACCTCAGGGAGACGGCGTTCATGACGAGATACAGCAAAGCGAACATGAGGTAGATACCGAAGTACATGGCCGGACGTTCGTTCGTGCCCTCTTCTGTCCACACTCGCAGCCAAATCTCTGTAATCGAGATGTCAGCAAGCCTCACGATCGGAATTTGCATAGTTGAAGGACACTTACGGGGAAGCTTGGTAAAGCCCACGTACAAAACGACCATGAATACGAAGGGACCCAACATCCGCCACCCGATGGAGCTGAAGTAGAGCTTATAGACCTCGGTGTCACCGGTCTGTCTCGTGAGCTGTGCCTCGGTGACCCTGGCATTAGTTGGTACTGGAGCCTCTACTTTGATGGTCCTCGCTTCATCTTCGGTCGGCTCTTCGGCATCATGATCGTCATCTTCTGCAAGCTCCTTGCCCTTCACGTCCTGAGAGAGATGACCCCACACAGACCTTGGTACAGAGTCGAAAGCGATTTGGTTACGGACAATGGTACCATCTTCGATCATAGTGATGCAATCGGCAGCATGAAGGAAGTTCACTAAAAGTGTGTTAGTCTACAGAGTTAGTAAAGTCTGTGAGAAGGCTTACCATGGTTGGTGGCAAGGAGTACGGTCATGCCAGCCTGTCGAAGAAGACCATTATGCCCTAACAGGCGTTGAAACACCGCTTTTGAGGTTCTATTGTCAAGACCACTGAAGACGTCGTCAAGAAGCAGCAGCTTTTTTCGAGAGTATACAGCGCGAGCGAGTGCCTGGAAGTCCGTGAGCCACGATGGAATAACGCCGCAGAGCCTGACTTACCACTCGTTGTTTTTGCCCACCACTCAAAGCCACCCCGCCAGTGCCAACAAGAGTCTCCTCAGCTTTGGGAAACAGAGCAATGTCCTGGTCCAGGCTGCATACGCGGACGACCGCCGAGAACCAAGCGGCATCATAAGGGACTTGGCCGATGATGTTGTCCTTGACGGAAACATTACGCAACCAGGCAGCTTGGTCGCAGAATGCAACGGAAGAGGTATGTAGAGTCACGGTGCCGGAAGAAATCACCAACTCGCCGAGTATACCTTTGAGGAGAGAAGACTTGCCACAGCCAACACGGCCAACAAGCATGGAGATGGAGCCCTTCTTCAGCACAAGTGAGATATCCCTTAGGATCTCGGTGCCGTCTTTCAAAGTGAACTTCGCTTCGTTGATGCTGACAAGTGGCTTGCCCAGTTCGATGGATGCCGGTCTGAGAGTGGTAGCTCTCAATGACTGCAACTCGACCGCATTGCTAGCCGAGACTTGATGCCTTGGGGTCAGGGGCTGCAAGTCTGACCCGTGGAGGCTGGGCGGCAGCCGCGTAGAGTCCAGCGAGGACTTCTCAGAGTTGGTCAAGATCTCCCGCCGGTCTTCGAGTTCGTCCAAGAGAAGGAACTCCTGGATCCGAGTAAAGCAGCCAAGAGCACCCACGAGCTGAATGATGGAAACGATCAACTTCATAAAGGGGGCAGACACGAGAACGATTATCGACAGGGCAGTGAAGGCCTCGGCTATGCTCAAGCCTTGTTCGGCCCGAGTCCAGAAGACGGCGGCGGCGATGATGACCACCGGTGTGATTTGATCGGCGGCTCCAACTGGAAATGTGGTGTCAGTTGTCAGATTACTAGAATTGAGGTGAAAAGATCTCACCAATCACACTGAGAAAAGTGATAAGAACTCTGAACTTGACGGAGAGCTTCAGCTCCGTGATGCGAAACTTTTGCACTATGCTGGAGAAATGGTCGGCGAGACCCATCATCTTGACACCCTTGATCTGGTTCAGCAGTGATGATGTGATTGAGATACGCTTCTGAACGCCTTCGTTCCACGCAACACGAGCCGGGGCCATGCGCGCAGATAACTTTGTAGTAACCGCAGTGCAGACTTCACGTTCGTTAGCAGCGGCTTGGGAAATGACCAGATGAAATTCACTCACGGAGCCCGGGGATAAGAAGGAGGAAGCAAGGTGGTCCGACTTGACGGTACAGGAGGTAGATCCCAATTGGAAGCTCAACAATCGCAGGCCAGATGTCATGAATGAACGTCAAAGACACGGCGATATTTTCAATGTCGACACTCATCAACGTGACTGGCGCGGAGTCTTTGATCGCCGACGCGTCTAGGTCCAAGGTCTTCTTAAAGATGAGCGACACGAGTCCGCCGCGGAAGAGGGTTACGAGCTGGAATGTCATGTGCTGGTACCAGCATCGAGATATCTATGGCTATTAGCCTATGATGCATAGGGGATAGATGAAAGACCCACGGCAAGTCCGACGTAGATGCAAGCCGTAGCGCCGACCAGGCCGGCAGCTACGTTCCTTGAGTCCTCCCCCCACGGGCTGCCGACGAAGTTGACTATGCGGTTGACGAGGAGCGGTTGGGCGAACGTGAAGCCCGCGAACAAAAGACGGGGCAAAACACCAGCAAGGAAGGTGGTTCTGTATGCCCAGAACGTGCTGATAACCAGGCTCCATTTGCTATCCTTCTTACCTATGCAATATTAGATGGCATCTGTAGATGGAACGGTGTTACGCACTTGTAGCCCACGCTCTATCTAGCATGTCAAGCAGACGCGCCGAGTCAAATTTGGGGTCGATGGCGCCCAAATCCTCAAGACCGATGAGAAGCCTGAAGCCCTGGAAGAATAGCGAATTGAGCCACCAGAAGAGACTTCTGCTGACGACACCGGTAGTGGACTCGACGGCAACATCCTTTTCACTGCTGGCCAAAAGAACTCGCTTGGGAGTCTCTTCAAGAGCGAGAACGACCACCTTGACTACCAAAGAGGCAGTAAAGATGCCCGCGACCGATCTCAGACCACCTCTGAGCCATAGTGTTCTGGCTTGCGCGATGTCGAGGACGATGGTAAGAAACAGATACAGGCCGATGAGTGCCGAAGGCCTGATGGAACGCTTGTGCTCCGTGTAGGATAGGGCACCGAGGGCGATTGCTTCGATCAAGCCCAGCGCGCTTTCTGCGACCGAGGTGCGAGCTCTGGGTGTTGATGGTATGGACGATAGTGCTATGAGAACGATCTGGAGGCATAGGAACACAGAAATTGCGACCTTCACGAATAAGCTCATTATACGAAACCTGTTTTGCCATAGAATTCGACATTACCAGCTTCAACCATAGCAGTTTTCCAGCTCGAACGCGGATGTCATTGCGAAGCAACCAGGTGATGCGAACCGGAGCAAGGAGGATGATAAGGGCGGTGGGCAGGATGGACAATATGCTCTGCTCAAAGAGTACGGTGAAGTCAAAGTAGCCGTTGACCTGCGGGCCGAAATAGTTGTCGGCGTCGCTCATGCTGCCAGTCACGCTCAGAGGCTACGTGACTTACGCTTGGGAAATGGTCAGAAACATAGCATGCGCTGGAAAAGCGCGTTGCGACCAAGCAGATAACCAACGCTTTTGCGAAACACGAGGTTCTTATCCATTCGCCAAGTTATCAGTCGCACCCCCTGGCGCAGGATTCCAGCTTCCTATTCGAGCGCGCTGATGCTGACAGGAGGCACAGTGTTCCAACTGCAGTTGACAGCAGCGACCGATTCGTCCAATAATACATCGCTAATTGACAGTGAGAGACACGCGTACTGCTGGGTTGGGTTCAAATAGTAACGGTTGGTGCCTCTTGTTCACTTATCAGCGGCCGTTGGAGTCTTGGTATTTGTGCTTGGATGAATGAATATCTTGGAGGCGAGTATTGGAATCGCACATCGCTCTAGCAACCTGCTGTTGTGCGTATGTATTATGTATCTTCGGGTTGATTGTCTTCTCGGTGCCATGACATAATACCAGTAATACCAACTCTAAAGAGGAATTTAAATGAAGAATTGCATTCAGATACTGCGCGAAGACCTGCGAGCAGGCCAACACCATGACGTGACCAGGAGAGGCATTGCGCAATTATCTCGCTGGCGTTGATACTTCTACAACGAAGGCCTGTAGCCCTCCCTACCGATCCCATCTGTTATAGCCCTGACGTTTCTATTGGCCTCACTGGCCTCAGGCACCTCTTCGCCCCGAGGTCGAATCATAAAATACCTCGACGGTCTGGCCATCATTCAAAAAGCCGAGTCTTGATTTCACTTGTGGACGGACACATGTGACTCACACCCAGACTTGATGGCCCTAGGAGGGCTTTTGGAATATTTATAAGAGTATTGAAGGCCTACATCAAAAATATTTCATTGCCTTATTTCCCTCTCAAGACAGCAACACGCACCAAAATGATGGATATTGACGAGCCTTCGCCTAGAAACGAGTGTTTCTTGGAATCGCCCTGTGCCCAGACTTTCCATCGATTCCACCAACTCCCTCCGGCCATTCGACTAATGATATGGAAAGAGTTCTACCTCATCCCACGCCAGTTCCTCGCGCATTGGGAGGGCTACGAGGATCTTATAGGGAACGATACTATCTTATTATCTTGGGATTTATACCCCGTTGCCCCAGGCCACAACTGGAACGCGAAGAGTTACTACTACTCCATCGACAACACCATTGATCGTATGTCGAGGTCCGTCGCTCGCAGCCTTCGCAAGCGGTTCGGCTTTCCTACATATCTTCGCAAGAGCCTAGACCCCTGGTCAATCTCGCAACCACCTGAGCAGGGCCTGAGGTCGGACGTCATGATCAACTGGGAGGTGGACTTTATAAACCTGAGCAGGGAGACTCCTCAAGTGTACCTGATCGACGACTTGCCGCATCTCCAGTGGCTCAGATACGTCGAGAACATCGTCGTCGAAACGTGGTTCAGCGAGTGTAAGTCAATCATCGAGAACATGAACGGGCTCACATCGGAGAACAAGTGGCTGCTGGAGATGAGGCACTGGCTCCCAAACCTCAAACTCATACAGCGTGAGTTCACCAACGGGGCGCCAGTCGTTCTAAACGAATGGGCATTTTTCCAGACAAGCTATCTACTTCGCGAGGCAGAAGATACCCCGCAGAGCTGGAGGCATACAAGGCAATTTGCGACTGACCTCTATTGGCAATCCTGGATTTTTTTGCCCAAGACACCTCAGTGGACTTCTTTTCTAGAAAGATTACAAAGTAGTGGTGTCGAACTTCGAGATGTGATGTCGCAGGAAATTGAGTTGTATGACGAGGTGTTGGGCAGTAGAAGACTTTTCCAAGGGCTCGAGCAAATCGAGGCGAAGGAATGGGACTCGTGAGATGTCGACATTGCGACGCCAGCCCCCCTTACGTGTGTCCATGTAGTACTTTGCGAGTAGTTCAAGCAGTACCATCCTAGAATGAAATAATGTAACAAGAAAATACTATTCGTGTAGTTTGCTGGCGTAGACCCTCCACTCGTCACAGACTCGAACGCATCTGTGACGGCAAGGACATCAAGAAGTAGCCGTATCTACCGTTTTCCTACTACACCCGAGACTTCCAAACCGCCGTCCCTCGTCCGTGTCCTCCCAGACTCAGCTTCTTCCAGCGCAAGTCTCGGTCCCTTGCCAAGCACCTTCTCGCGGTGCCACTGCCCGACAAACATGCCCTCCGGATCAGCCGCGTTCCTCACGGACCGCCACTCCACCAATTCCCTGCCGTAAAAGTCCTCCACCGCCTCGCTCGCGAGGAAATTCTTGGCCCAGTGCGGCTTGCCCCCGAGATCCTCCATCAGCCACTCAAAGGCCTCGTAGTACCGCGCTCGGCAGGGCGGGTCCATGAGGTACGGCCGGTACAGCGTCGCGTTGAGATACAGCGTCGGCCCATCGGGGGAGGTCGGGTCAAGGTACGGCCGCACGTTGGAGGTGAGGGTCGTGTCGCTTACGCGCACCTCGACTGGCGCGTGAACGTAGAGGCCTTTGGCCGAGAAGGGGATATTATGGGGGACGTAGTCTGGGTCCGACGGTGTTAGGTGGTTTAGCCACGACGATAGACGGCGGAGGGCTTCGGGACCCCGTTCGAGCGGGATGGCCCACTCGTTGACGAATTGGGAGTAGAGACAGTTCATGAGCAGGGCCTTGCGGCTGGGTTGGACGGCGGATATGGTCGAGCCGTTGGAGAAGCCGTATTGCATGCCGAAGACGAACCACTCAACCATGCGCAGGATCCGCGGCACATACTGCGCCAAATACAGCAGGTTGTGGTACACGTAGTACCCCAGCGCGCCGTCGTAATTCCTCCTCGGTGGTTCCACGAGCTTCTCGTCCGTCTTGTCCGCCCTCCAGACCACTGCTCTCCTGGTGTACGGAAACCACCACACGCGAACGAACTCGCTCTGCGTCCACAGGTCCTTCTTCCACGCGTTCAGCATCTTGACGTCTGTATCGATGGTCTGCGTCCACCTCAGGGTGAAGGAGCGCACAGCGCGGAAGGTGATTTCGGTGATGATGCCCAGCGCGCCGAGGGACAGCAGCGCGGCGCGGAAGAGCGCGGGGTTCTCATCGTGCGAGCATATCTCGGTCTTGCCGTTGGCGAGGGTGATCTTCAGCGCCAGCACGTCTTCGGACATGAGCCCGTGGAAGAGGCTGCTGCCGTGGGTGCCCGTCGAGATGGCGCCGGCGATGGACTGCTGGTTAATGCTGCCCAGGTTCGGCATGGCCAGGCCGTGGCACTCGAGCTCATCGCAGAGGGCGTACAGGCGGATGCCGCTCTGGATGACCGCCAGGCCCGAGGACTTGTCCACGGACAGGATGCGGTTGTAGTTGTCGAGGTTGACCAGCCAGCTCGAGGTGCAGGTGATGTTGGACGGCGAGTGGCCGCAGCCGGTGGTCACGATGCGACGGCGGCATTTGCGCGCGAGGTTCACCACCTTTTCGATCTCGGCGAGGGACTCGGGCTGGATGTAAAGCTCCGGGAGGGAGTAGAAAGTCTTGGCCCACGTGTGGTGGACGTGGTTGGGACGCGCGCGAAAGGGCACGTCGTTGGAGCTCTTTTCGAGCTCTTCAAGGATGGTAGGGTCCATGGCCCCGGGGGTAGGAAAGGTCAATCCTGGGTGAAGTTGAGCTTGTCTGTTTCTTGTTTTCTGTGTAACTTGATGGCTCAGAGTTACTTCGCTAGGCTGTTCACGTTCATCAAGGTTGGCGCCCTAGGTCAACTCGGCGCTCGGCGCATTCGCACAACCGTGGAAGCAGCACAGGTAGATGAAGGACGCATGGCTGGTGAGAGAGAAGACGGAATGTGCTAAATTTCTACCCCAGACCCGCGCGACTGGCGTGGGAAAGGGCTGGAAGGAGACGGGATGGAACATGAATAAAAGGGTCTCTCAGTCCGGTACCGTTTTAGCCCGACGAGCTCTTCGAAATCTGGATGGTCGCGTCATCGAGTTGCTGTTTGCGACATGTGGATGCGCCGATAAGCTAGGGCCGACCACGCTAAGCCCACAGCTTCCTCCCCAAGTCCGCGGGGTGCATTCCGCTGAGCTGCAATCCCTGCACCGACCAAGCCGAGGGAAGGTCCGAGACGTACCGTCCGTCGTTCTGTGCATTTTTCCAACCTCGTCGCAGTTCTTCATGCATTCTCGCGTATGTGAATGATATCTAAAATAACGTGAATTGTATTATAACACAGTCTCTCGTACCTAGGCTGACCCCCCACAGCTACCAGATTTCCAGGTCGCCGCCACTTGACAGATATACCCAGCATACAACCAAACAACACAACGAAAGGAAAATGCCCTCAGATTAGCTCTCTTATTGTTCTCACGGACAACGGCCGATGGGCTCCGCCAAAGTGACTGGATGTACCCTTGTGCTGTCTGCAAATTTGGCTTTTCGGACTCTGGGTCATCACCGGGCAATTCTGAATTCCTCGCTGCGCAGCCACTGGGCGAGCAGTTCTGAGATCTGTCTTCTGTTAGCAAGTATTCTCAGACACGCCAAAGATTGAACTTACCGGCCAGCTCCGATTGAAAACTATATGATTGCTGTCATGCGCATGGTCAAGGCAAGCCACTGCCCCAGAGGGGTTGCAACCGTCGGCCAACTACCTTGCTTCTAGACTTGTTGCAATTTGTCGGTCATGGCGGCGCGTGATCTCAGAACGTGAGCAAGCCTGGAAGAGAAACGCAACGAGTTGTTTCCAGACTGGGGGAACACCAGCTGGTGCCTGCTCAGATCTCTGTTCTTGGTGCTGGTCCCGTCACCAAATGGAGGGTTTCGTTAGAAACCACACCGTTTGGCGATCCCATAACCTTGTGAGAGTTGTCATCAGCGCAGACGATATTCTGAAAGTAGGAAGGGGATGGAAACGGTAGCTTGCTCGAAAAGTGGTACAGTGATCAGGAACAGAAACGATGTTGGCGATCTCAGGCGCATCGGAGTATGCTGCTTCCCGCTTGGGAGACAGCCACCCAGCGAGCGAGAGAGCACACGCGCTGGATCAGAGGCGCTTCGTGCAAAGGAATGAAAAGGTTGGAGTGATGACATGGCTGGAAAGAAGCTCTCGAGCTGTCGCCGAGTGCGTTGATCTGAAATCAAATGGTCAGTCTTGGGACTCTGCGACGGCAATAGCGATCCAGACGCAGGCTAGATGGCGAAATTGCCAGGACGCCCGACAATTAATATTGTGCGACATGTTCAATCATCTGAACTGCCTCGTGGATTCTCACGGGGCGTGCGACGTTTCGTTGTCAGAAAGCCTGGCAGAAGATGGAGGTGGATTGCCTTCTGTTGGTTGCGCAAAAGAAGAAGGAACGCGACTGGACGCGACGAGCTTACGGGCTTGACCCACAGTGTGACATCCACCAGCTTACACAGTCCTACACACTGTACCCACCACCCAGGCAAGAACGTAGAGACAGCACCGAGAAAAGGAGCATCTACATGCTCTGTTGGAATTGCACTAGGGTTTTATGTTTGGACATGCATTCATGATCAAGTGATACTCTATCTTCTAAAGTCTATCCTTCTCCGCCTCGGCAGCCTCTTGCAGCCTTGCCTCGACCCGGGCAATCACCTCCGCGTCGTACAAGTCCTCCAGGTTCTTCTCGCCGTTGAGATACTCCTTCTCGTGGCGGAGAGCCTCATCCCTCGTCATGCAGACCAGGTCGCGGAATCGGATATTGGTCCATTTCTGCTGCTCGGAGCCCTCACCAATGACGAGCTTCGTCTTGCCCTCAGGCCTCTTCCACCGCACGAGCACGAGCCTGTTAATGAGACCGGTGACGGCGCTGCGGCCCTTCCAGAGCTCTTCGGTCAGGAACGCGGCGTCGCCGAGGGAGACGGGGACCCGAATGCCCATGGATGCCTCGACGCCGTCTCGGTGCTTGACGAGGCGGGTCTCGGAGCCCTGGACGAAGCCAACGATGTCGCCGTAGAGCTTGTCGCGGTTCTTCGCCGGGACGTAGTCGAGGGGGTATCCTAGCTTACTGTTAGTCATGGTCTTGAAGTAGGTTGATTGTTTCGTACCTGAGATGCTGAGAATAACGTGGTTCGCGACAATGTATCCAAAAACGGCGGGCATGGTTCCAAGAACGGGGAGGATTCGCACTCTGAAGCTGGGAAGAACGCTGAGATCGCCAACGGTGCCCTTCTTGAACTCCTCCTCAGAGAGGGGCAACAGAGCAGCCTTGCCTTCGGCCGCCACCTCGTTGGAGTACACAACAGGAATACCACTAGTCACACCAAGCAGCTTCAGCTTCCTGCGCGTAGCCCTCGAGAGACCGTCGTCGGTGCTGGCGCCGATGTCCGCAACATTGATACGAGTAGGGTCACCCTTGGCACCGGCGCCCATGCTGGAAATAACAGGAATCTGGTGGTCATGGCAGTACTTGAGCAGGGCAACCTTCGTGTCAATGTTGTCGATGGCGTCCACCACGAAGTCGGGCTTCTGGCCGTCCTCGGCCCACGGCGCGAGCAGCTCAGAGGCGACGTCCTTCTCAAACTTTTGGTTCTTGAGCTCGAAGCGGGCCCACGGGGTGATGGCGATGAGGCGGCGGTAGAGACACTGGACCTTGGGGATGCCGACGTCCGCGAGAGTGGCGACGGCGTGGCGGTTGAGGGAGCTGAGGGTGACCTGGTCGAAGTCGATGAGGCGGATCTTGGAGACGCCGGAGCGGGCGAGGGCGGCGGTGCAGTGGGAGCCGACGCCGCCGACACCGACGACGACGACGAAGGCGGAGCGCAGCCTGCGGAGGCCGTCGTCCTTGAGGAAGACGCGATTGCGGGCGAGTTGTTCCAGGATCAGTTCTTCGTCAAAGTCACCGGCTTGGGCGCGACGG